TGCAGCCGCCGCTGCTGCTGTTACTGCAGCTTCCACTTCATATTACGGGCGGGATCGGAGCCCCCTGCGTCGCGCTACAGCCCCAGTCCCCACTGTTGGAGAGGGCTACGGTTACGCGCATGAGAGTGAGTTGTCCCAAGCTTCAGCGGCCGCGCGGAATTCCCTGTACGACATGGCCCGGTATGAGCGGGAGCAGTATGCGGATCGGGCGCAGTATTCAGCCTTTTAAAGCTTGAGGTGGGATGTGTGTGGGCTGAAATTCCGAGCTGCGGTTGTGCCTGAGAATACACCCTTCGTGGTACCCCGTCTCCGGGACGTTCTGGGCTCTGTGCGTTCAGTCCCTCAGGAACCGTGGACCTTAATTTACCTTGCTAAGTTCAGACCACCTCTTCCTTTCCTCTCTCCTGCCCATTTTCCTGTTCTTCTTGTCCTGCAGTACTTCTGTAGCTTCCCATTCATGTTCTGTTCTCCCAGCAGGCCTCATTGTGTGCAGAAACTGATGGGGGTTGTGCTGTCTCCCTGCCTCCTGCTTCCAGTGGGTGTTGTGAGAGTGTCACTGCTCCTGAGTCTTGGCCCAAAGGCTTGTGGCGGGTAGATATATAGACTTCTGGTCCAACTTGTAAGATGAGATTGCTAAGAAAAGCATGATAGTTTTCAAAATTTATGTGCCCTTTCACTATCCATGGATCTTTTAAACCTCAACTAATTCAAGAAAAAAGTTTCTTCTCTTGTTTTCTATAAATAGATTGCTAATAACTTTAAAATTCTTTTATTAGCATCTTGTCCTACAGAAGTAGGCTATCTTCTTTAGAGGCCTAGTTTGACAAAATTCCTGGACTTCGAGAAAGAGAGAAGTTGACAGATAAAAGCTAGCCTGGAACTATCGGTTAGGTCTTGTTGCCAGAAGCTGGCTTGGCACTCACAGCTGGGCTTTGGTGTTCTCCTGTCAAACATCAACAATTTCATAGAACACCAACTTCAGACAAGGCCACTCTGTGACGGTGGTGGATCAAGAGAAAAAACAAGACCACCCTCTGTTGCATCTTTCCCAGTGACAGCATTAGCCTCACTTGATCCCTCCACCTTCTACATAAGAATTATTTGGATACCCAATCAGAAGGTCATCCCTGCTTCCGCACAGCATTCAATCCAGAAAGTCCCACTTCCTTGATCCTTTCTTAAATTCGCCTAATGCAAAGCCAAATCCTAACTCTTCCTCCTGAGATGTCCTGCACTTCCCCATGGTGTGCGTTCTCCCTTATTGCAATGAGTCAATAAACCCACTTCTGTTCAACTACAGGTGTGTTCCTGGTGATCTCGGCTGAAAGACACTGACATCTTGTTACTGATATGACACATTAAATTAAAAAAAAAAGATGAATTGGAATTTTGCCAAGTGTAAACCTTACTGTACATTTCTTATGGCCTATAAAAAACAGTTATCATAAATCTAGATACAGTGATACCAATTTGGACATTAAATCCTTTAGTAAAGGCCCATTTGCATGTTTGTTACCATGAACTGAAAATCATTTTCTGATGGGAATCTTGATTTTGCCTTCCCTGGAGTTTCACTCTTGACTTTCTTCTGAGCAGAACTTAGAAGATCTTTAGTTAGGTACTTGTCTTCTGGCACCTATGTTTTCATAAGAGAATCAATCCTATTTTCTACTCAGCTGATAAAGCATTTAATGCTCCACTTAACTGGCAGTAGGGCACCAGTACATCAGGTACACCTCAGAGAGGATGATCTGGACTTAGGGCTGCTCTGTACATTTCAAAAGCTCAACCAAGAAAAACAATACTTGTGAAGTGTTAGCAGAAAGATACATAGTCCATATATTCCTCTAGATAGTTTAAAATCTACTCCTAGAGTAAGTCAGAGCAATAGAAAACTGTTAATAACTGGATCTCATGTTCTAGGGAAGAGTTTTACCCAGTTGCATTTTTAAATGGTTCCATTGGAATACACTGAGGAAATTTTTAAATAACAGATTTGTGACCCTTGATGCTGGTATTGTCCATTATATTGTACTATGTTCCCTCCATGCAAACTCACTAGTGTCTCCTGAGCAACCAGTTTGCTTTTATTCATGAGCACTGTGGATCTCCTGGCTAATTATCCTTTCTTAATGTCTAGTTCCCATAGAGAGAAGTCAGTAGTTTAATTCTAAAAACATACAGACTACATATGACAATTATACAAGACTTCTAAGTATTCATTTAGGGTATTTCTTTGTATTACTTTTCTTTCAAAATTGATTTTTTTTGTATAAACCTTTGTAATCTATCTTAATTTGTGAGCCAGAATGAAATAGGGGAAACAATAAACTAAATGATTCCTGGAAAATGGATTTAATGAGTGAGTTGATGGAAGCTCAGATACCAGTCAAAATATGGGAAGCTCACCAGACTTGACATTGCAAATGAAGTTCAGCTGACCCCAAATTCACTTTCTCACTGGACCAGAACAATGCTTCCTTGTATAATATACAATTTTTATCTCTGTTAGCCAAATAAATACATTTTGTATCCACACTGGAATGTTCATTAGGAAGTTACACTCTTAATTACTTTTTTAGGTTGTTTTAAGTGGCCAAAGTGGTTAAGTGAAAACACACTCTTTAAAATTTTCTAGGCTAATATGTACCAAGTTTATCCTTTCTTTTAAAGTAGTCACATTATATAAGCTTGAAGATCATGAAAACTTCTGGGTCTCTTCCACAAGATCTGTTGTCAAGCCAGATGTCTTGCTTTTTACATTATTTTATGGGATCTCAAATTTGCTTATTTAGTTGAAACGTTCCTCTTTACACCTACTTTGCATTTGAATTATACTTCCAGGATGGATAATCTGAGAGCCACATATATAAGTAATACCCCTACTGCATGTCAAACTCCAAAAGAGACAGTTCTGAGGAGCCCATCCTGAAAAAGAACCTTCCAGGCTTTCATGAGACACTAAGAAGGCAAGTTCCCATCTAACTATTGTGCTTGAAATTGATTATATGAAAGTTTAAAATACATTCCAAAGCCAAGTAGAAGTGTTCTTTAGAGATTCACCGGTTGCACTGTTAATGAAATAAAAGGTCTATTTGCTTTGAGCACTTTGATTTGGCAGTTTGAGTTGAAGGAAAAACAAACCTAAAAAGTATAAAGGAAGTAGCCATGGGTTTTTAGACAGACATTTTTCTTTTAACTCACAAATACATTACATAAAAACATGTAGGCTAGCATGACAGTAAAAGCAATCTGTATAAGAAGCAATAAAGGTTACAATGAGACACTACAAAGGCACTGTATAGTGTTCTGGTTGACAAAAAGGGTGTCTGTGGCTGCCATATTGTAACTGCTCACTTTAAATACTGTAGGCCTATGATTCATCCCAGCTAACAATGAGGCAGACACAGATTATTTGTGTCTGAAACACTACAGGGGGTGGTGGTATATCAGAATTGATTCAGCCAGAGAGCCCTGAGCCAAAATCTACTGGCAGAAGCAAGACTCAAATGCTGGGCATGGCAAATACAAGCAACACATCCAAAGAGCCAGAAGCAAGTTCAAAGGCAGAATCTAAAATCGAGTAAAGTGGCAGAGAAAGTACAAATTGCCCACACAAGAGCAGAGAGCGCTTGACAGTTTCTGTGAATCATAATGGGTATTTGTGGTTGGCCTGTAAGAGTTGTGGTTAGCACGGCGTGTAGGAGGGTAAGATGGTCTTAAAAACTGTAAGAGGTAGAGGAGGAAAATTCAGAAGGTGGCTATAAAATTGACTTCAAATGTAACAAATGCCCAAATGCATTCCAGAATTCAGGTTTGTCCTTTCACAAAATGGTGACATCTCAGGCTTTATAAGGTAGCAAAATGTTGTACATACCCATCTGTTAGCAATCAGTCTTGCAATTATGATATACTTTGACTACATAAACATTTTTCATTGCTTTATTTTAATGATCATAGCACAATAGTTAATCATTTTAAAGTCCATGTTACTATCTACACTATCCTAATTGTTCTCATTAATGGAAAAAATATGTTTACAGCAAACTATGTAAAATGTTTGAGGTCACCTTGTAAATGCAAGTTGCCTGCCAGAACTGTTTTTCAACAAGAAAGTCAGTTAAGGTAAATGTAACTATCCTTCAAATAAATGAATGATTTGGAGATGTCTGTCATAACATGTTTACTGGTGGAAGGAAAACTCGTATTTATACAAACAAAAGAATACCTGCTTTCTTTAAAACTCTCTCCCTAACTCTAACAAATCAAACTGAACAATCCAAAGGTAAGTTAGATTATCTCATTATAGCTACTGATTATTAAGCCCCTAAACGTTCTAGACACTCTCCTATGTGCTATGCATGTCAGTCAATATCAAGACACTCAACAGCTCTTGACAAAGGCATTTCTACAGACAAGGAAATCAAAGCTTGGAGAAGTTAACTATGTTGCCCCAATCTCACAGCTACCAAGTGGCAGAGATAGGATTTGGATCTGGGACAAATCTGAAGTTTTTGTTTCATCTACTGTGACACACTGCATTTTACTATGTGTACCCTACCCACCCCAGGAAAATGAAAGGCAGAGGCCCCTGGGGCAGTGGATGATATTCCCACAGGAAGGAGAAGTGTGGTTCCAAGGCTCAGCATGAGTCCGACCTCAACCCTGCAGGGATCTTTCCATCAGGTTGTGACTACTTTGTCGAATCCACTGGTTATATTTTCTTCCCGTCTCTATTCCTGAAAATGTGCTTCCCTTTGTTAAAAAACAATGAGGAAAGCACTGAGTTATCAATGGTGGAAATACATTCTGAGATGCTCTCCAGGGAGTAGAGATAGATTGGTATTGGTATTGACCCAACGGTGCCTCCATTTTTGTTGAAAGGAGAAGTAAATTGTAGGCAGACTAATTATGATTACACAGAGCAAAGCTAGCTGTCTGTGAAAAGATGATTCGCAGACTACCAAGGATTGTGTAAGATCATGTTTAAGTGCTCTATGGAGCCTCAAGCCCCATCCTGATCTTGGTCACATTTTTAAGCTAATCAAGCTTCAGTCCCATATTTGTGAACCATTGGTACATACACAAGCCCACATGCATCTCCTCATTCTGAATGGCACACCCTGCAAGAACAGATTTCTTTACATGCAGAACTGGAAAAGAATTTGTAGTTTTCTACAGTTGTATAAATAGGCCCAGTAGCATACAAAGTTTGGTGTCAATATGACTGACACAATTAATGATTTCAAGTTATCTGGATATTTTGAATTTGCTATGTAGTTATTTTTCACATACTTTTATAAAAATACATTTTTTAGAGACGGTATCAACCTTTATTTGCAGTCAAAAATTCTCAGATAATTATGTTTAACTGACATTTATTATTAAATATTTGTTCTCTCTTTAAACACAAAAATACAAGTCAAAGCCAAAGCTTTCTACCTTAACATTCTCTATAGCTATTGATACAATACAGTATAAGAAGTTGATTTAAATCCTCATTTTGCATAATTTGAATCTGAAATAAAGCATTGTTATCTATTAGTTTGAATCATTAAATTTTTATTTTTTGTATGTGATAAATG